CCTAGTCATCAATCTCTAGTAAGTAAAACATTATTTGCTCTGCACCTTTCAGCAGCAAGGCAAATCAAAGTGCATGACATTGTAATAACATCAGTAGTAATGTGCAGTAAAGCAATTAAAATCGTTTAAAATCTCAATCAAATACACATCAAATTATCAAACCATAAGAGCCATCAGACAAAATTATGAAAATCATCACCTACATACACATGATAACCATGGGTACATGATCAATATTTAATAAGACATTTTTTATAGAGCAACTTTTTACCTGGATTTTTTTTGCAGACACATGAAAAGGTTAAAAACAAAATAAAGCTAAGTGACAGAAAACAGATAAGAAAAGGCATTATTATATAATAGATTCTATGAACCATCAGACCATGATATTGTTCAGTTAATCACAGTTACACTGTGAAGGAATCATCTTGTTCTATAGTGACTATGTGTGTTCCTAGTGCTAAGCCCATATTCTATCAGTACTTACAGAACTTTGTTTGAAGCTTTGACCACTGCCAGCAGTGGGAGAAGAGCCTTCTCTGGAGCAGAGGATTTCTTCAGGTAATCCCGCAGCTTCTCCCCTGAATCTTGGAGGTTGTTGTTCTCCAGGTCAACCTCTCTCAGACAGCAGGACTCAGAGCTAAGAACTGATAACAGAACTTCACAAGTTCTCTCTGAGAGGTTACAGGATCTAAGTCTGAGAAACAAAATAAAGAAGAAAAAACTGATGTTATTTGGATAAAAAAACAAACATTTCTCCATCCACAAACAGTCAAGATGATAAAAGTTTGTTTTGATGAAAATTTAACTCTATATTGGGTCCGTAATTACTGTATGTGCCACTGAACCCTGAAAGAACTTTTTCTTAGGGAATTTACCTTTCATATCCAGCACTGATTACTGTTATAATAAAGGTGATTATGCACTAAAAATGTATGAAGCAATATTTGAAACAAATTTTGGCATGTTTAAAAATGAATGTTGTATGAAAGTGTGAAAAGCTGCGAAAATATTTTAAAGAAAATTTTACTATAAAGCTCCAAATTCACTTAAATAAACAACAAGATGACTCAATGAAGTCACATTTAACTCAATGAGCATCAAACCAAAACCTTTTTTATGGGTTTTAGCCTTTAAGAGTTTAATCCTATAGATTGAATTAAGTCACTGTGAGCCTGAAACACTAATAACAATAAAGATTCAGTCGTATGTAAACTTTAAATATTCCTCTTTTTTGTTCTGTAAATGCACATTAGTCTGTGGGCAAAGGAGAAAATTACATGTATTTTCTAAAAGGGTGGCTTTTTAAGAAAGAAATGCTGCTGGATCAGCAGAGCAGTTCTAAACAATTTAGGTGTGAAGATTCATAATGCTGACAAGCTGTGGACAATCACAAATGTCCATATTGGATAAAGATTTCATAATAGGGGAAGAATAACAGCCTTGGTTCTGCTGGAGGACATAACCAATGGAAGAATCTATCCTTCTAGATGCCTGTGCAAATTCTCAGTCATCCGGGTTGGCGTCACAACAAAACTGGCTTAAATTTTAGGCTGCTGGACTTTTGCTCAGTTCTTCTGCAAAATTTTAACACCTATCCAGGAGTCTCTGTGTGTTCTGTTGGCTCATTCTAGAAGAACCATTGGTTGGAGCTCTGGTATTTTTAAGTACCTGGAGGTCCCTTCATCTAAGCCCATTCCAAGTCAAGTGCAAAACAACAATGCAGCATCATTCTCCTGTGTTGTTGGGATCCATTGTTCGGTCTAGATTTTGTGTTTGGCTATGATGAAGTCATGACTTCGTGGGCTTCTGATAGGTTACCTCTAAACCTCTGACTTCATTAGAAACACATCTGCTGATGTCTTTTATGGTTACCATGACGGCGCTCCAAGGCAGTGGCCAAGAACAGCTCCTCTTGACAGTTTCACACAATATGCCGCTTAAAACGATACAAACTAGACATCAAACCTGCATCTATGATCGCCAATGCCAATCTATGGTCACAAAATGTCACAAAATACTGACACTTTTAACCATTTCAAAAGCTACAGAGTGCTACGGACGCATGTCAACAAAACAACAGCGGAACATAACTGGCGGATGAAGAGATGTGCAAGACAGAGGCTGCA